ATATATTATTTTATAATATAATATTATAGATATATTATATCGTAAGATATCTTATTAAGATTTCGAATTTATATTAGAAAAATAATATAATATTCGACTCTATTTATATTATATTCGAATACGATATAATATTACTTAATATAAAATATTCTATAAAATATATTATATCTTTTCGATTAGTAATTAAAAATAATATTTAAAATTAATTTATAATATAATATAACTTTCTCTTAAGTTACTCTATAATATTAAATAAGAAATTATTTATTAATTTATAATCTTATTTAAAAAAGATGAAATTTAATAATTAAAGCGAGTTAATAATAAGAGATAGAGAATTATTTAAACTTATATAAATTATTAGAACTAGTATAGATACGATATTAATATAGATAAGATAGAATAAGAATAATAAAGCTATCGAACTATATAGATAGAAAGAAGATATAATATAGTAGAAGATGTCTTTACTAAGACTCGCTAGTTATAGAGCTAAGGGCTGAGTAATATATTAAGAATACGCTCGTAATACTATCTCTCTCTCTTAATAGCTATAGCCTCTATAACTGGTAGATCGAAGATATATATCTAGTACTTATCCTATTTCTTTAAATATCCATAATTCGTATAGATCTTAATCGAAGAAGATTTACTGAGATATAATAATAGTAATCGAAAATATCGAATCGTATACTAGTCTTAACTGTGCCATCCATATCTACTATATCTATATTATTCTATAGAGATTTTAGAGATATTAATTATATCTTATCTACGTATCAGTAAGATTCTCTAAATTCTTCTTCTTATTCAGTCTTTTTGCCATAGTCCTTCGATAGAATTAAAGAAAATTTAACGTATATATATATTATTCTTTAACTGTTAGCAGCCTAGCCTAAGAGCTTTACTATAGATTTACCCTATGTCTCCCACGCTCTTACCATCAAAAATTCATTCTTTATTCTATTCTCTGTCGTAGGGTTTAATAGAAAGATAGGTAATAAGAATCGAATGTGTTGAATGCCATTTGATAGTAGGCTTACTGTTAGAAACAGTCCCCACGGGGGCCCTACGGGGCCTCTGCGGGCAGGTATTTAGGTTCAAATAGAGATGTCTGACTGTCAAGCGCAGACACCCCCGGAACCAGCTTTTTTAGCTGAGTTACTAACAATAGTGTCTGCGCTTTGTTTCCGGGTCGGTTACAGCCTAAAGAATCTGGCTAGCCACCCCGAAGCGACACTAGCTATAGCCGGAGGTGACACGCTTAGTCAATATTTGAGGGTCGGGGGTTCGAGGACGCTTAGATCCCCCATCAAAAATCAGAAACTTGATTTTTTCAGAGGGTCGCTCGGGTAATAGTCACGCCGAAGGCGGGCCCCGAAGCCGAATACTTTCGGGCAGGACGCCCTATACAAATGAGATTTTCGGGCAGGACGCCCTATTCCAACGAGGACATTTCGGGCAGAACAGCCCTATTCCAACGAGGACATTTCGGGCAGAACGCCTCAGGGCAAAGCCCAAGCAGACGCCCGGGAAAGAAACCCCGAGGCCGGCCAAAAACAGGCCTGAATTTGATTTGTGTGCGCTAAGGCGGGGCCACAGGCCTGGAATACAGCCCCATTCCCACATTGTACCGGTGCGAAGGCGGGCCAAAGGCCTTTCACTTGGTAGCCCCGTGGGCAGAAACCTCAGTGGCAATTTCAAGTCCCGCAATGGCGGGCATTTAGAAGTCTTCGGGGGAGTGAACCCCGGAGCACAGGGCATGTTGTCCTTAAAATCGTGGATCTTTCGGGGAGTGACTCCCCGGAACATTGCGATTTTTGCACTGTCTGTCTTCGGAGCTCGAGGACGAGCCCCCTGGAGGGGGAGGCATTGTTAGAAACAGTCCCCACGGGGGCCCTACGGGGCCTCTGCGGGCAGGTATTTAGGTCCAAATAGAGGTGTCTGACTGTCAAGCGCAGACACCCCCGGAACCAGCTTTTTTAGCTGAGTTGCTAACACTTATTATATATATTATCGATATACTTAATAAAGAGATCGTACATTTACTATTATTATAGTAGGCTTATTATATATATTATCGATATACTTAATAAAGAGATTAAATCGTAGTTATATTATTAGATCTTCTCTCGTCGCTATTATAGTAGACTTATTATATTATATAAAGATATTTATTTATAATATAAATCGTTATATATAAGATAAGACTAATTACGATATATAAATAATCGACGATATAAAGAAAGATATCTTAATATTAATATAGGTGAATTTAAGTCGAAATTTATAATATATTAAATATAGATAATAACGAAGTAAAGCGAAGAAGAGTTTCTTATATTCGATATAAGAAACTCGTTTTTTAATAAATTAGACTATTATTAATAATATAAATTATTTAATATAGATTCTTTTAAATAATATAAATATCTAATAATTTAAAAATATAATAGAACTTCTATATAGTAGAAATATCTAGCGTTTTCTTTATTAAGCTCGGTTGCAAAAGCTTCTAACGAATGGATGGCACTGGTAGGAACATCGCTGTAGAGCATCGCAGGGTCAAATTTTGCCAATTTCTTGGCATTGAGCTCCATCAAATGACTAAATCCGGGAAAATCCATGGTAACGCCGTGTTCAGAAAGCAGTGTCAGTAGTGTGGGTACTAGTAACTCAAACCCCACATTGTCGCTTGAGGCTACATCCCATTTCTTGAGTTGCTCGCTCAGAGATTTGGCTGCTCGAGAAATTCTGCATTCGATCCTCTCGGGAAAGTGCAAGTTGGTGTGCAAGGATGAGTGCTTTTGGTTACGCAGGATTGCGAGTAGAGCCGCCATCGTATTCAAAATGCCATCGAGATCAGATGCGTAGCACTCCCACCCTCCATCGGGGAGCTGTTTTTCGAGAATGTATTCAAAGCTATCCGGAAAAAGCCATTGTTGACGGCCATCAATGATCTTCGATACCATTGAGACCCAAGCAGTATCGTAGATTGATGTCGACATGCACCCTATAGGTCGGCCATCTTTACAAGCTCTGGCCAGCGGGCCAACCAGAATGGAAGCTTCAGCTTCTAGAGACATGTTGTGGGATTTCCTAAAATCTAGGTCAAGGAGCTAGACGTGTTGATACCATTCGATTCATACTTGGGCTCGAGTGGAGAGCCTCTGGCTTTTCTAACCAAGAGCGGGGTATACCCATGGCGTGTACCGAAGTGATATCAGGCTACGTATGAAAGGCGGTAATTTTAAAAATACTGGGCAGAGGATAGACAATTCCATCGCTCTAACCAGCATAAGGGAATAGTCTGCGGAAAACAACAGATCCAACTTAAAAAGGAGATGAGCGTCGTTCGCGATACGGAGTAAGCTCGACCGACATGAACAATCTCTACCGTAATGCAACATGCGGTCATCTCATATACAGCAAAGGTGCATACAATGTGAAAAGTTTGCAACGGAGGGATGAATCCTCCGAGCGAGTAAGCAATATGATTTGATGGAATTAGCGGCAACATGAAATGGAGGGGACTTCTCATTTCCAATCAGATGGTCACCCGATCCTAAAAATACTGTTTGGAGACGGAGAAATCAACCCCCAAGGTCTAGGCCCAGTCAGCTTCGGAGTATACAAACATCGGTGTATTTGGTTTAGATATATGTATTACGGTATCATACGTAGCGTTAATATATAACAGGGAGCTCAGAAAGCGGTCCGATATGATGAAAAAGTAATGCAGGATGCTGCCTCGCAGATCTCAGTACGTACAGTGGGAATCGAATCGGGCGGCTCGGAGAGGGTCGGGGATTACTGATTATTGTGCAAAGGCTGGCTTATGCCGTTCCCGTTTTGTTATAATCTAAAGTCGATCAGGCAGTTGGGAAAGGTTGCGATATTGATGTAACGTAGCATACTGTATGTAGAGGCAAGGGAGTTACTTTACTTAGCATGGCCACGGAATTTGGCCGCACCCTCGGCAGCAGCAGAGCGCTAACGCGTTCCCTCCCGGGCTACCGTACCTTGAATGAATTAAATTTTAGGGGGCAGTTTTTGGGCGTCTAGGGGCATTGCGCCCTAAAGGGTCAGGTGCCAGAGCAGTCCTGAGGTAAGCACAAGCCGCCTTGGTTACCGCATTCCTCCGCCGCCAAATACGCCTTGGCCAGGGTTCATTCGATATTGCAGGGGAAATAACAAACGAGCAGTCTGCAGACTTGAAAGAAGCTCAACATGAGACATGACGCAAAGCCTTGCAATTGTCTAAGAAGCAGAAGCTGCCAGATCTTGCTCATTGAGCTGGTCTCTAGGGGTTGAAGACACCGGGTTGGTAGCAGCTGCAGTGAAGGGGCAAAGACACGGTACCCTTCAGGCCACGTTGGCCGACTTCTGAAGAGGCTTAGAAAAGGAGTGCGCCAAGATCTGAGCAGTGGACAGAGGTGCGGGGTGGACAGAGATGAGGACGGTAATGAACACAGGAGCCAATGACCTCGTCAACCTCAATACGCAGGCTGGCATGCTTGTTATCCAACACTTGCTGAGCGCGTCTAGCATGTCGCAGTGGCAGACCCTCTCATAGGTTTGGCCCTTCACCATCACTACCTTCACTCTACTGACAGCATCAGTGCCTCCTGTACCAGTCTCCCTACCGGCGACCTCCTTCTCCGTCGCTCTCGCCCTCCGTCAATTAGCCATGTATCAATCTGCCGGCCAATCATCATTTCTCCGAACCTCCAGATCCACCCATCATTGAAGCCGAAGTAGAGCGGACATCGAGTCGGTTGGGTTTGGAGAGGTGGAATCCGAGACGTTGAAGAGATGGTCATTGGCGGGCCTGGGGAACTCTACAAGTGGAAACAAAGCTCTACGATTTGCCTATTTTGTCCAAATGTCCGGAATGAGGAGATACCAGGTGTTGAAAGACAGGAGGGTTTTAGACACCTCATTCCCATAACAGTATTGGCCAAGCTCTTCTCTTCTCTGGTGCGCGTGATATGACTTCATTACAATGCTTTCCTTCCCACAACACAAAGGAACGTCGTATCAAAACTCGCTCCCTTCTTCATCTCCTCCTCCAACTTCCTCACAAAGCTTTTGATGTCATTTGCATCCCCCACCCCTTCAACATTTTCCTCCACCAAGTCTAGGTAGCCAGCGAGGTTGCTTTGGCCCCACATGGCCCGGAATTGGTCACCAATCAGATGGCGGTCAGTCGCTACGGATGTGAGACCGTGGCTCCGGAACAGTTCAGGAAGCTGCTCGACCCATCTAGATCTGTTAGAGTTGATGTGAGGGGGTTGGACAAAGGTTGAGGGCTTACTCGTAAGTGGTATATGGCTTTGGTTTTGCCCAAATTTTACAGTGCCGGTCGAGAGCAGGGCTTGGCATGTTGGGATCGGGCTTCCAGACGCTGACTGACTTTGCTAAAGGCTCGAACCATTGCAGGTAGCCACCAGGTTCTGGACCATGGTCAATAAGTAGCTCAATCTAAATCAAGTTCAATGTTCCTCTGCAATGTCGCAGTAATAAGGAAAGCAAATTCAACGAAAGGACCTACTCAGCAAGGACATGAGATTCTTGAGGAGCACCGGAGCGTCTGGATTATTGACGAGACAGAGCCAGAATCTAGCATGGACGACATCATACTGCTCCACGAACTCGGCAGGGAATTCTTTGAAGCAATCGTGGACTACTAGCCGGACATTGGATATGGTATACAGAGGCGAAAACTGCTCGTCTGATATGTCGAAACCATGAATGGTTGCATTCGGGTATTTCGCGGCAGTTTCAAGCGCCCATGCTCTTTATTACCGTGAGTGCAAGTGGGCAGACTGAGAGGAAGAAGTGCCTTACGCAGTCCCTGTGCCTACATCAGCGATGCGGATCTCCTTCTGGCTTGTGGGTATTCTAGGATTGATCAGGTAGCCAGCAGTTTCTTTCATGAGCAGATGGTTGTAATTCAGTCTAGTGACAGCGATTAGGCAGACGTCAATAGGCCTCGGGTGAGACTGTCTACCTGATAGATGACCTGAAGGTCCGCTGAATTGGATAAGCCACTTTATCCTCGGTCTGAGTCGCCATGGGGGACGATTCCTTCCGTCGCCTGCAGAGTGTTATGTGACTTGTCCAAAGAGGGGGCCAGAATTAAGGCCAAATTTAGGTCAGCGGTAGCTTAAAGTCAGGCGTGTAGTCAACAGTATAGTACAAACAAAGCGTGGATTGCTAGACACCATATGAGAGATCAGAGCCTCGCTGCGGACTGGACGAAGGAATGCCGGAAGAGGCATTTTAATCCCTTCTTACACGAAGGATTTTGTATGCCTAGCACGCCTTTTTCCTTCCGAACAAGGGAGAAGACCGGATGATCTCATGACGCTTCTCGGCATGAACAGACGAAAAAGAAGCATAGGCAGTGGATGAGATGGGTAAGTGGGTAACAACCCACACCTGAAGTACCTTACAATATTGACGGCCCCCGCCATTCAGGGACTGCACTCTCGCTTTACGTTGCTGCATGACCGCCGATCACAATGCCAATCATTTCCATTGGCGGTGTAGTGGTAGCGTGGTGATTGGGTAAATTAAGATACCTAGCGGGATGCACATATTTCATTTGGAGCACTAGAAGGCAGAGGTTGGAGAGCAAGTGCCCACCTCTCATTGTCAGCAGGACCAACGGCCTAGCTGCTGTGTAATGTAAATGCCAAATACGAAGACCAATACATACTACATCTCGTTATTAATTCTAAGGAAGAGGCCAAATATGTCTGCGTTCAGAGCTTTCGCTTGATGACCCGGATTGGAAGCTCCTTCATGAGACCGATGCTGATGTTAGCCTCGATATCGTCATACATCATCTTGATTCCAATGTCCCTCTTCCTCTCCCACGCTAATTTTTTATCACCTCCGCATTCTCTCAATGTCTTCTCATCTACGATCAGTTCTAACGAGTAGTCTTTCAAAAGCGTTGCCATGACGGACGTCAGCTCAATCTGCGCGAAAGTTCTTCCAGGACAGGCTCGTCCGCCGGCGCCAAACGCGTGCCACGCTGGGAGGCCACCCTTGACATCGTCAGGCCTGTCATCTGTACCTAACCATCTTTCTGGGTTGAAATATAGAGCCGGCGAGTCAGACAGTGCAGCACGTCTTGCGGGCGCCACTTGCGGTTTCTTCCACGTCGCCGGATTACGGGCGGCGGCTGCATTGTTGATGAGAGTCAGAGTGTTCTCCGGGACCACATGAGATTGGCCCTTTGAGTCAACAACGGTAACGGGCTCGATGGTCGTCCGCATGAGGAACGAGCCAGGGTTGTAGATGTAAAGCACTTCCTTCTGCACTGCGCCGATATAGCCTTTCTGAAGCGCTTGATAGTCCTTTTCAACCGTCCAATCGCTCTTTGGACGTAGGCCGAGATGTCTATCCAAGTCTTCCTGAATTCGTTTTTGATACTCTGGATAGAGCGTTATTAACACGAAGATGAATCCCATGGTGCTTCCCAATGTTTCGTGCCCGGCGAGCAGAGTGAAGAAGATATTTCCCAGCACACTTTCTTCGGGAAGAGGTTTCTTGCCTGTAATTTCTGGATCCGCCGCAGAAATTACAATAGCCTCTAGATCCAATTAGCATATCCAATCGAATGGAGATCTGTGTTGCGCCTACCAAGAATTGTTTTGTTCCTCTTGCCTGCAAGCTCAACCATGTTCTCAGCGGCTCCCGAACGGAGCTCCTGGATGTATTTGGTCACTTCGGTAAAGCTTGCATGCGCTTCCTTGAACATCTGGCCCGGAAGCTTGCCAAGCAGCGCTCGCGGGGTCATGAAAACGGTTGCCAGACGACTGAGCATCATGAATAAAGCTGTGCCAAACGTCAACTTGTGTCCGGATGGTACTGCGGTTGTGGATCCATAATCCTCCCACTCCAGCCTTTTGTTGAAGAAGCCGCTCGAGATCACATGAAGAGCCAGCCTTGAGGTCCAAGACCGGATAACAGGGATGACTGATCCTTCTTTTTCGATCCAGTAGGCGGCAAGTGTCTCCATCTGATGTTGAGCCTCGTCCCAGACAATCTTATTCATCGCGTTGCCGAATCCAGCACTGACTGCCCTCCTGTGAGCCTTCCATTCCTCCCCGGACACGGAACTAATGGTTGGTCCCCAAAGATCATAGAACTTAACGAGCTCTATTGGCTGCTCAACCTTCGGGTGCAATGTAAAAAGCTGATCAATTACTGCATTGTCGCAAGTCCAGAGCATGTTGCCATTGGGTGTCGCCAGGACAAACGTATCGCTGCCAGCGTCTTTATATGGTTGATGGCCAGTTTTCCATATCTTCCAGATCTGAGAAATTCTGTCCACTTCAGCGAAGGATAGTAGCGATGGGTTTGGGGCACAAACTGTGACCATGGGCTCACCCACGCGCGGGGCAGAAGCTCGAGGATGGGGACAAGGACCGGATAGCAGATCATCCACCATGCATCAGAGAGATAGATGCTGCATATGTCAGTGCATGTCAACCTCGAATCTCTGGTGGGCAACTCACGGGGAGTAGAATACGGGAAACCCGGTCTTGGAGGCTACAGAGTAATTCTGCCTCCATTTCGAGACCTTCAAGTATGTCCCCAGGATGGCTAGCCCCAACAAGCCTGTCAGAACAATGCTAACCATCTTGATTCCCTGAGAGGTGTGCAGATGAAGGACAGGCTGCAGAGTTGTAAGAGAAAACGAAGGACTTGGTTGCGGAGTTGAAAGGCTCAGGGATATATACGAAAGGCTTTCGCAAGGCTGCTCCGAGCTCAAACATAAGCCGCGCTACAGAGGAACTTGAAGGTCGAATAAGCCTTCAGCAACTCAGTTCTTCGTCACTTAATCTCGACTATAACGTTATTCGTAATTGAGTGAATTAGTGTATGAAAAGAGATTGTTGTGGATCAAGGTGTTTAATGGAGTGAATACGTGTTAGAAAATGGCTAACCAGTTTCTGACCTGCCCCACCTGCTGTACCAGTACGTACCCCTACCCTAAGACCTTCCATGCCACCTGGCCCCTTCTTATTGCATACTTTAGGATATTGATATTCATTCGCAGCCTTGAATACTTTATCGAAGGCTTTTTGAAGTACCTGCCAAGCCAAGTAGTGGTATCGAATCAGCGTATACACCAACATTATTATTAAGTACGTTCTACATCTTCTATCCTCAAGGTTCCATAGTAGCCGAAGAGCCGGCTAAAGTAAAATTGTCTTTTGAACGCCAAGCTTTTGAATACGTCTCACATTCTTCAATACCGTATGAATATACCGTATTTGACTGGTATGGAAGACAGTATCTTATTTCGCTTTGCAAATGAGACCTGGGGTTTGTCATATACGCCAGGTATTTCTTGCGCGGTTCATTATTGTAACCATTCTGCCCTACAACCTAATACCACTCGCTCTCTTTCCTTTCAGCTTCCAAGCAAGTTTTCTGCATAGATCTGCAGTAGTCTCATCATCACATCATTGCGCGATACGCAAACTACCTTTTTGCGTCGCATCATTATTTCGGTATTTGGATGGAAGAACACGAATTCGTGCAGCAAGGCATTGGATGGACGTTTTTGGTCGACGAACTGGAAGTCATACTCATCAAGAAGCTTCACAAGGATGATCTTCGCCATCAAGGTTGCGATGTACCGGCCTGGACACGCCCATCTCCCAGCTCCCCATCGGTAGTCGTCCGCGAGAACACTCGAAAATGGTCGAGCGCGGTGATCCGGTAGACTTTGATTGTAAGCCCGAAGAGCGTCGTAGTCTTTTGGGTTGGGAAAAATATGATCATCCATTGCCCTGGAGTATCCCGAGACGCAGATGAATTGTCCTTTTTTGAGTGTGAGGCCGTCAGAGAGGGTATGATCGTTCAGCATCACTCGACCGTAGACTAGATACGTCCCCGGTGCAAGCCTGACTGTTTCTTTCATCGCCGAATCTAGCTTTTCCAAGCAGTTGTAGGCCTCTATGTCCCACTTCCCGTCCACTTCTTCGTGCTTTGTGCGAATCTCCTCGCGAATCTCCTCAAGAAAACGTGGGCAAGCGACCAGATCTGCCACAACACCGACGATCAGAGCTGCTGAACTGTAGGTAGCTCCAGCTGCGGTAGATCCTATAATGCCCTTCACCAGTTGAGGATCAGCGTCCCGCTTATCTTTTGCTTCTCTTATCATGGACGAGATCAGGTCAATGCGTCCTTCACATCCCTCATCCATTCGACGTCGCACTACTTCTGGGTATACGAAACGCTCCAAGGTTCGCCATGTTTGTCGTAGTCGCCATTTAGCTGGAAGAAGCCAGACAAGGAATGGTTGTAGGAACCACGGTACCAGTCGCATTGTGAAGGCTACGGAGAAGACTGTTGTGATCTTTAGAGAGATCTTGAAGATTCCACATGAAGGTGTACTCACCGTTTCTCGTATGCTCCATGAACGTATGAACAAGTTCTGGGTCATCACAGGTGGGTTCGCCTAAGGTAGCGAGAGTTATACTTCGACTGATACAAAGGACTATCTTGTCGACTGGCTTGACAGCAGTCCATGTGTCACTTTGCTGTGGGAACAGCCTTGCCAACGTCTCCTCGATACGAGTCCGGGAGGGCTCAAGGAGCCCAGGAAGAGCTGGAGTAATTCGGTTGAGTAGCACCTTAACATGGAGATTGGTCTTGAGCACCACGTCCATCCCATTCAGACGTCCGAGTAGTGTCGATGCATGGGATCTCCTGGAGCTCATCATGTCCTGAGGCAGCCCATTGAGTTCCGTGATGAATTGGGGTGGAAGCACAACCAAATCGGTGTCCCCGCGGTCAAGACGATACGCACGGCCTTCATACTACTAATTGTTAGGACCGTTTCATCTTTAAGGCACTAAGACACCAAACCTTTTGGTTTGCAATCTCCAGTATGTCCCTCGCCTTTATGGCCCACCGTATCCGAGCAAAAATTCGAGGTTCGAGAAAGAAGCGGCGATTGACGACTGGGAGGCCGTCATTGTAGGTGGGAAAGTGTACGAGGACATATGTGAGAGAGAAGATGATAGCAGCTAGAAGTGCAAGCTGTGTAAGATTTGTCCGATGTTCTAGGAATCTTGTTTTCGTCCACGGCTCACTACCATTGAAGCAGCCATCTGCAAGGTGTTTTGTATAGAGATATAGTAGATCTAGCCTCGCTGTCGACATGTTTGCGTTTGTTGGTCGATACAAGAGTCACTGTATACAATTGCGACGCCTCTGTCAACCTTGGACACTCTTTTATATTGAAGACGGACATCCCCGCCGCAAGGCACTGCATGTACCGCGTCATACTAGATCCTCTTGTTTGAGATCCAAATCTTAAATAGGATGCTACCTTGCGAGCTGCCTCGTGAAATAGAATAGGGGGTGGATCAAGAAACGTAATATTACATTGCATTATTACCATGTACCGTTCGTACCAGAAATGTACCACGTCCGGCAAGTCATCAGCTGATTGCTTATCTCGGAAAAGATCGGCCAACAAGTAAGCACTAGTGAAACAAGTAGTACGCCTTGCAGACCGCAGCTGCAGCTTCGAGGCAATGAGGTTGTGACAAAGCTGGAAGTATATCTACGATGTCCGAAGCGCCGGATTGAAAACGAGGCTGCGGCACGCAGATGACGTTGATGGAGTGTGGAGCTGCACTTGCTGTGTCAACCCTTCAACAGCATTCCAGATGTTTATAAGTAATCGGTTTTACTGAAGATCCTTTACCTTCATTATCCCAGGAATCCTCGAGATTTATGAAGCCTTCGGTCGTCAGCATTCGATAGTACCCTTCAGCCATGGCTTCAACCTCCGCGGCTACGACCGCAAAAGTACCTGCTTTGATCACCACTGCGCTTGTTATCGTTGCAGTAGTATTTCCTATTCTATCTCTCATCGCCATTTTCTTTCGCGACAAGGCCCGAAGAGTCGCAAAGCAACCATTCCAAGTCGATGACTATTGGATTGTTCTTTCATGGGTAAGGAAGGTGTGCTGATGAAGAAGGGCATTCATTGATTATGTATAGATTTTGGTGCTCTCTTTGAGCATCAATGTCTGGACTTTTGGAGCTATCACGGGATTAAATTATTACAGGATCGATTCCTTGACCGGAACTAGTGATTCTCTCAAGGCAAGTTCATTGTGAAGCAATGACTTAGGGCATCGGCTGGCAAGCTTACAAGTCCACCAGTGCCTCATCATTGCATGCTCACTGGTTCAGCTTCCCCTCTCCGCGGTCAAGATTTCCATTTTGCTCTTCTATAAGAGAATCTTTACTACACCGAAATTCAAACTCGCTGTGCGGATCACAATCCCGTTCATCGTTGCCTGGGGTGCTATCTTTTTCGTTGTGAGTATATATGTCCATCTGGGTCGACTAAAGACTCAATCTTTCGACAGCTTGGATTAATCCAGGGGGATCCGATCTCAGCATCTTGGATGCCTGGGGAAGGCCACCTGCGATGGGATTCGACAGCGCTTGGCTTAGCTCAAGTGGGAAGTAGTGTCGCCCTTGACTTCATCATTCTTTGTTTTCCAATACCAGTCATCTTCGGTCTTCATATGCGTACCCAGAGAAAGGTTGCGATTGCATTGATTTTCTGGGTGGGAGGCTTGTGAGTTATCCTCGTTTACTCACTGGCTTTGATTGACAAGTAAATAGTTGTTGTATTGCAGCTATCGTTCGACTTGTCTTCATCAACCAATCTGTTAGACAAGTCGAAAAATCCGAATACGCAATCCGTGAGTCTTTTCCAAGGTAGACAGGAATTGCTTGGGTGAACGAGCGTGCTGACATCTTTAGACGTCCAATCCAAGCAGTTCGTATTCATGATAATTGAACCAAATTGCTCCATTATCGCCGCTTGCCTACCTTGCTACGGTCCCCTGTTACCCAGAGGCAGGTCCCCAGGCTCTCTCGTCCGCAGTGTGATATCAGTGTTTTCTCTTCATAGCAGAGACTCGACTGGTAGTCGCAGCCAGCAAAAGTCTATCGATCCAGCTCCTAGGAACAGTTCATCTATTGATTCACACATCAATCTCAAGCAAGCATCCGCCGATTGGTCTACAGCACATAACGAGGGTCACGTTACTAACAACGTCGAAAGCCGGAGTGAAGAAGGACCGGAAGGCCATCAGGACGGTGTGATCAATATAACGAAAGCCTACGACATCACAAGGGATTCGAGACATGAAGAAAATGTGGGATAGGGGACGTCCGAGTACCTCAGGTAGCTGGCACTGAAAGAGTTCTATAGACATAATTGGGGTGTCTGAGCTACCACTATAAGACTACCAACTATTCAATGTCTTCCCTCTCAAGCTTTTCTTGTTGAAAGTAGGATACAAGACCATTACATTCTTGTACCAGACCCACTAGCAATCGTACCTGATACAGCAAGCAGGAACATACCGGTCATACTCGGACATTGCTTAACGTTTGAAAGAAGGCAGTTGCTAAGACGAGAAAAGCGGCTGGTCGGGTTTACATTATGCAGACCAAATGCCATTGACGTCAGGAATGTAGTCCTAGGTAGGAACAAATGTGCTCGCAACTCGCGCGTGCCAAGCCTTACGCAACCACGACACGACTGCACTTGTCCTGCAAGTCAGCCATGAATGAGTAGCTGAATCGGCCCGGAGTGTCTTTTTAGATTGGGCACGCAAGGCCGTAGATGTGTGTGGGAAAGCGGTCATACGCTTTCAAGCCTACAACTAGTATAAGTTACTGTTTAGTGACGGACTAATCTTACTAGTGATCACCTTTTGGTCTAGTCGTAACGAGCATAACCCGTCCCGCTTCTGCCGTCCGTGCTGAGCGTGCGCCACCATCCGCCAACACATCGTCATCAAATCCTATAAATCCTATAAATCCTATCACGGCTTGCATGTGTTCGATTGGATCCTAGTTGCGAATTATCGGGAGTAATTTCGCTGATCTCGCGATCATGTTACATCCATTGCTGCATGAGAAGGAAATCCTATAGCCCGTCTTATGTGAGCATTTTCAGAGTTACATTTGCAAAGGACTCCAGATCGGCCGACTTGAGAAGGTAAGGTACGTAGCACCAATTCTGTCTACCTACTTGACTTCCCGCAGGGCGGTACGTGCCGCTTTCCTTGCGTCCGCCGACATCAATCTAAATAATTCCCCGATACCTAACCACTAGAATAATTTCATACAACATATTACCATACGAGTAGCATTTCTTGAATGCACCCATATACACAGCCGACAGAGTCGATAGCTGCCGCTGGCTGCCACATCATCAACAGTCCTTCGAGAAGAGATTGCGGTGACCACGCAGCGTACCCCTAGCGCGATGCGGATGTCGAGTCAGCTGGCCTAATTAGGTTCTGGATCATCAAATTCGTAACCAGTAAATGATCATGCGCTCTGAGAAAGTCTCCGACGCTGTCTGTCACAAATATTCTCCGGGTGAGCATCCCAAAGATGGCGCTGACGTACTCTAGTGCTATGGGTGTAATACCTTGGATCACGACACCTTGCCTGTACCGGACTGCATCGCTAGTGCATCTGAATGCATGTCGACAAAAAATCTGAGTGAAGATTCCCACTCCTTTGGCTCTAGTGCAACCGCCAAAAGACTTCAGATGCCTCCTTGGAATTGTCAGTGTACATCTCTGGGGTTGCGCCATTAGCCAATGCTCCACCTCTGGCTTCGCCACATTCAAAAAATCAAAGATTGTTTCTATTTTGTTGCATACTCCAATCTTCCGTCACCCCTGGTTGAACAAGGAACTTCGACAGGCTCCTGTTATTTGCAAATCCGTTCCCAAGTTTGCCATTAATCTTGCTTATGCTAATCAGGCCAATCTTCGTGTTTTGCTAAATTCAAACCCTTGCATTCGGGATCGAATGACAGCATGGTTGGGGTACCTATAACAAACTCTCTTGCGTCCGATAAGAATAGACATGCTATACAATATCCTTTACGTGGATCTACAGAGTGCACACCCATGACACTGCTTAGCGATGTCACGTCGTCTCACTACCCAAGATACAAGCATGTACTTCGTCATGGTGCATGTGGAGTTGTCGGCGCATGTGTGCAAAGTAGCTTTGGAATCGTGGAGGTGTCTCATGAGCTTTCAGCTCCTGCATCCTGTAGACATCTATTATTCGAACTTGTTACATGCAGGAGAGAAATATCCGGAGCACCTGATGGCGGGCTCTTGCATATATTTGCGCGATAGCGCTATCCGAGATATTCTGACTCATGCGTATGAACAGGGTGCTCAGCAGAGATTCGTATTGCTCGTTTGCCTGAACCCGTCAGTCTTACTGTTTTGAAGGATTCAGAATGCATGCCACGGTTGTAAAGATGTTCGGCTCCGTGTGGATCAATCCACAATACATTCAAATTTCTGCAAATCACAAAGCTGAATGCACTCACGCCGTACGTCACCCCCAGCTCGAAGCTCATCATGACCTATAAGCCAGCTCCTACGCTGGCTAGACTAGAGTTTCTATCTAGGCAGAGTCAAACCCTTGCATACAGGCTCGCCTCCGCTTGCACAAATCCTAAACCTCAGGCTTTTTCCCCACTACACACACAAACCCATCGACCGTCGATACCCCCTTACCATACTCTTCCATCAGCCCCTCCAGATGTTTGTCGCGGAACTGGTCCACCGCCTCGCTCAGCCCCGTTGGCACATCCATCAGCGAGAGTAGATGCAGCTCGTTCATCTGCATAAGCAGACTTCGTCTTACCTGCATGCGGTCATGTGCAACCACTTCCAGTCCAACTGAAGTCATTGTGGGGCCAATGTCGAAAACCCAGCTAAAGCTGGATTTAGTGACAAAATGAGAGTGGCGAAGAGAAGACGAACCGTGCATTATAGTTTGCGAAAGGATTTTGCTCGAGGTCGATGAAGGCTTGGGCGGCGGTGGTGGGCTGAGTGGAAGAAGCAGCGATGGGCGTGATGTCATTCTTGTCGTGTTCGGTCCATTGGATGTAACCGCCGGGTCCTAGTTCCATAAGCCTACTCTTTAATGATACACCCGGAGGAAATCCGAACTTAGCAACGTCATTGCATTCTGAAGTATCTGCGTCACTTGAGACGTTGACAGGGTGAGAAACAGCCGAAGATGGACGACGTCAAAGTGGCCATGGAAGCGATTCGGGAAGGCTTGATAGACGTCGTGGTGGTGGAGAGTGACATTTGGTGGCAGCCAGGCGCGAGGTGGGAAGAACTTGTCAGAAATGTCAAACCCGTCCACATCGGCCTGTAGAGAGTTGTCTTCTGCGACATCGATCGGCCAGATCCTACAGTTTGGTGATGAGTCAATTTATAGATGGGTAGTAGGAAGCCTTCCGTACGCAGTCTGCGTGCCCAAGTCTGCGATGCGGCTGGGCTGCTGGGCAGCAAGGCTGATACTCGGATGGAGAGTGTAGCTGGTAAGCTGTTTGAGGACGTGATGGAAGTAGTTGATCCTTTGTCCCCCGCACCCCCACCCAAAAGGTGGTTCGCGAGGTGTAAGTCAGTCAGTCAGTCATGAGGGAGAAACCGTGATGAAATTTTTCCCCCCCAAAGCGACATGAAGTCTTGTATGTATTTTACGCACTTTGCAGCCGAGATGAAATCCCTTCCTTTACTGTATTCGGAGGCCATGTTTCGGAGGACTCGGAGCGATGGAGGGGTTGGATAAGGAGATTTCAAGACGCCAGAGTGGGGGAGTCAATAGGTGATAGAAGTCGTGCTGCTTCCTCGTGGATTTTACAAAAGAGGGACAAGTGTAAATGTCTGGAAGTGCAATGCGGAAGTATTGATTGCTGGCTGGAATGGGGTCCGCTGGAGGATGCTATCTTCGGGCTCGACTTTTCCTACGGGGCAGGGGGGAGTGTTTTTGAGTTTATTTTTTCTTTTTCTTTCTCATCACTATGAGGTCACTTTCTTTAGGGATAAGCGTAGAAGGATTGGCCTCTAGACCGAGACTCTCTACAAAATGAAGGGGCGCACAGACACGATCTCTTACTCGATTGAGACCCGCTTTGCCGTTCATGACTCGACTTTCTTGCTCCGAATTTCTCGAACCATATGCGCTTCCTGGGTGACCTGTGAAAGGTGTACAGTTTATGGAAGTCCTAGAATACACTAATCATACATGTCCTCGCTGAGAGTAGGCGCAAAGGATAATTGATCATCCTAGAACGGGCACATCCCATCTTTCTTTCGCCTCACCAGCATCTTTTGCCACGGCCAGCAGAACAGGAATTCATGGATCATGATGTTCTGTGGCCGTTTCGTGCCCGGGAGGAAATCGAACTCGTACTCCGTCAGCAGTTTTGCGAATAGGATCTTGAGGACTAGACTGGCAAAATAGCGGCCTGGACATGCGGACTTGCCGTAGCCAAAATTGAGTATGTTATGTTCTGTTGACGAGAACAAATGCTCTTCGTTACCGGCTTTCGGCTTGCTATCATTTGTCTGGGCCTGCTGGCGCCGTCTATAGCTCCTCAGCCCGTCAAACACTTCTGGATGGGGAGTGTTCGCCGGGTCGTTCTCGATTGCAAAGATGGGGAGACATGCATAACTGCCTTTGGGGAGGTGCAGACCGTTCTCGAACGTGTGGGCTTGTTTGAATAGCCGCTTCATCCCTAGGATCGTAGGCGGTGACATCCTCTGGGATTCGCGAAAGACACTGTCTAGTTTTTGGAGTTGTGAGTACGATGCCTCATTCCATCCCTGTTTGCCCTCGACCTCGGCTTCGATCTCGAATCGTAATTCCTCAAGAAGGCCTGGGTTAGCGGTGAGGTCATACAAAACGTTCACCATTCTGAGGAGTGTGGTGTGTACCGCGGCCAGGGCTAAAAGCACCTCAACGTGGGCCAAGGTGTCTGGATCTCGGTCTCTGCCCTTTGCGGTGCTGGCGAGCCACGAGAGCACATTTGAGTCTTCTTCATGGCCTTCTGGACCCCATGAGTAGTCATCGCTCTTGCAGAGAAGCTCGTGAATCTTCGGACCAAGGAGTGCTTTCGCTGACCGAACGTATCTTTGGCCATGCCAGTAGGAGGGAAGCATGCGGCAGAGTAAGGGGCGCACCCACTCAGGGAATAGACGTAGCAGGACGACGGTTCTGAATACTGGCCAGAATTATCAGCACAAGCTAGATGGTTCGAGCAGAGTCACTTGGAAAGGAGGCGCACAGTTCTCGGTATAATCAAATGAAATGTCCAGCCATGTGGCGTCACGACATAATGTAGGACCAACCAAAGCTCTTCCAGAGAGCCTTGCAGATATTTTCCCTAATATTTTATAAGGCGTAAACTCGGTCCACTCGTCGCAGGTGGGAAAGTAGTCTTCGAAAGCAGCGTTGAGTTCGTTCTCCAAGCCTGGGGTGAGGATACCGAGACGCGGAGTGAGCTTGCGTTGTACAATGGCATGATGTAGCCTGCTTTCCAGAATCAGATCCAGGCCGGTGTATGGACCTAGAAGATCATGTTCGAGCGCACCATTCGGGCTTGCGATCGTTGAAGGTAGGGTCGAAAGTTCGTCCAGAAGACAATTCGGCAGAACGACTATGTTGCCGTCGCCTCGGACGAGCTGGAAGGCCCCGTCCTTAAACTTTGCTGATATGAGCGGTAGACTTGAATTTCGAACACAGAGCTAAGAATCACCTTTTTATAGCCATTTTCAAGGATCTGTGCTGCTTTACCAGCGAAGACCAAATTGAGTAACACTCTGGGGATTGTAACTAAAGGGCTGCCCAGGAGAGGATACGCGCTATTCTTCTGTACCACGCGCTTTGTGATGATTAAGTCGACTCCACAGTACGAGAGTAGGATGAATGGGAGAATAAAATATGGTGAGACAACGAAGTCCATTTTGCCTTCACTTCGGTTCTCAATCATTTGCTTGATTGATAGAAGCGCACAGTTGGGCGAGGAACATTCGCTGATTTACTTCCACGGAGCTTTACGCAGGCACCATTAGACTATGGTTGCGTAAATGAGATAAGGCTGGGAACGTGAAAGAATGCGGAGTCTCCGATAAGACTGTACTGCAGATCTCGACCTAGGGACCGTCATTTCGGTATTTACGTAGATCACGCCTCAAACATGGCGCATTGGAGCCAGTATTATCCATTGACCGTGTTTCACTGGCATTGCCAATAGATCTTGAAAAAAAAGAGCGAAAATAGGAGGCGGAAAAGGAAACAGAAAGGCAAAGAAGGAGTCCTGCGAGCACAGCCAATGAATTACGATGACTGTTGAAGGAGAATTTTTAATGCAAGTAAGACGGAAATCAAGAAAGTGCATGGGGCGCTGCTTGACCGCAGGAATAGATGGGAAGCATGCAGGCTCTGAGATTTTTGATTGACAAATAAATACCCGGGTGAAGACACAGTGGTGGAGGGGTTTTTCGTCCGATTAGTCAAAAGTAAGCCCTTATAAAAAAGGACCACGTCTGCCTGCATGATGCGGAACACGCATCTGGTAGACGACCTTGCTTAGACAGTAAAGTAGTCGCATTGGCTACTGATATCGAGTGTGGATACTCTCGACGCACGGACCTAAAACAGTCAAAACAGTGTCCGGGGAATTAAATCAGGCGGAACGGATGCGCGCCGCTTGATGAGCGTGTTATGATGCGTGATATCGTACCTTACACTAGTAGTATCTTAAATTACCTGAGTTTTAATATCACCCCACTACACCACCACGAATCATGTAGACGAACAAAACCGGTGTCCAAATTGGCTTGCCGCTGTTGATCATTACATCTCAGTTCAACTCTATCAGAGATGTAGGATGGTACGGATCAGCGTTCTATATCGCATTGTAAGTCTTCATACGCTCACTTGGCCTGTAATCCCACTCATTCGCGTCCAGATGCGCAACCCAGCCTCTTGCCGGTAAGACGTTCATTCTCTTTCCAAAGCGGACGGTCTACTTGGCCTACCTAGGAGTGTTTGAGCTTGGAAGTTTGGTTTGCGCACTGGCACCGACATCGAATGCGCTTATTGCTGGAAGAGCTGTAGCAGGGTTCGGGGCTTCGGGGGTCTTTGCCGGAGGCTTTGTTCTACTGACGACAATCATTCCGCTACACAAGCGCGCCATCTGGACGGGGACGATGAGCTCGACATTTGCTATTGCTAGTATCGTGGGCCCCGTCATTGCTGGCGCTTTTACCGAGCATATCACATGGCGGTGGTGCTTCTATCTCAATCTCCCAATCGGAGGTTTCGCCGCAGTGCTCATTCTGTTTCTATTTCGCATCAAGGCAGCAGCAACCGAAAAAGCCCGGTTACTGGAAAAGATTAAAGGTTTAGACGGCTTAGGCTTTGTTCTATTCGCTGGCTCTATAACAATGCTGCTCCTGGCCCTCCAATTCGGTGGGACGGCATATGCTTGGAAGTCGTCAGTAATCATTGGCCTCTTCGTCGGTTTTGGCGTCACTATGCTTGCCTTCATTCCATGGCAACTGTACCTGCAAGATACGGCACTGATTCCTCCGAGGTTGTTCAAGAATAGGAACGCCTCGCTCATCTTCTCTAGCTCCATATTCGTGAATGGACCGTTTCAGACTATCGTTTACTGGCTACCCATTTGGTTCCAAGCTGTCCTAGGAGTTAGCCCAGAGGCTAGCGGTATTAGGTACTTGCCTACTGTCATTTCTGACGCCCTCGCTTCGATGATAGGCGCGGGTATCGTAATGCAGCTGGGAGTATGGAACCCCTTTCTATTGTTCGCGGAGGTAATGGTGTGCATCGGTGGTGGTCTCTTGACTACAATCCATCCTGGCATATCTGATGGCCATTGGATTGGCTATCAAATCTTTGGCGGCATTGGGTACTCCCTTGCTTCGAATCTAGTAGGTCCCATCCGCGACCTACTTTGGACACCGTCTAATCTAGTATTTTCCTACAGGCTCATCTCGGCATGCAGGCGTCTCTTCCACAAGACCTCGTCCCAATCGGAGCCACAACGTTGTTGTTCGGCATCTCGACCAGTTGTGCCATCTTTTTATCTATCGGCCAAACTCTTTTCAACAGCCGCCTATCCACGAATCTTTCTCATGTCGTTCCGCCAGACATTGCTAGCAATGTCATGTCTGTCGGCGCAACTAATGTGAGGTCTGTGGTCGGTAGCGGTGACCTGACAGCAGTACTTCAGGCATACAGCAATGCGGTAACGCAAGTCTTTGTATGTTTGGTGAAGCCTTGTCTCGATATCAAGATTCCAAGCTAAATGCCGACACAGTATATTCCTGCCGTAGCGCCGGTCATCTCGTTTCTCTTGCTGCTGGGATGCACTTGGACCTCAGTCAAGAAGCCAAAGGCAAAAGAGCCTCAGGAAGAGTCAGAGCCTAAGGAAAATGTCTAAGGCTTCTTCGTCATGGGGAAGGAATGGCACGCATATGAAACTTCACATAGACAAAGACTCGGAACAAATTGCCACTGTGGGACTTGAGGCCGGTGAGCCGCATGATAATCGGATCTTGTAGGTTTGGTCGTGTATAATAGGACATAATACGTACTCGTCTTATCAGAATTGTGCTCATAAACATTGAAGAATTGCCCCACGGAGACTTTGGGGTTTGAAGAAAACGCCATCATCCTCCGACGTACTTTACTTGAAAACGTGTATGTATTTACCCTTCACCTGCGGCGCGGCATATAGGTAATGTAGACACGAATCAACTAGAATCTGGCACTGTCACTGTCTCTCTCAGACATCAGATTTGTCCTCTAGGGACAAGCCACATTCTCCCCACCTCATACCTCCTCCTGGGCGCCAATGAACACATCAGCATATCTACATCCCGGCATCCTTCTCCGCAGCCTCCATATGATTATATGCAAAGCGATGAGATGTTTTGACGCCCAAAATAGTAGCCTCCAGCTAGAACGCTTCGGGAGGAAAGAGGACGCCCAAGAACACGTACATGTCAGCCCCATTCTCGAAGCAGCGCTTCTTGAACCAGGAAAGTTCTGGTATAAGGTCTACCAGCGATCTACCCCTATCTTTTTGTCCAACAACATCATAACCGGCGATGAGCTCCGGGTAGGGTTTCTTACAAAGTCGCATTACTTATATAATCAACGGTTCTCCTTTTGCCCCAGGATCGTATACTTGTTCATAGGAATCGATATCCCCAGAGACTCCTTCCCTTCTCGGCGGCCTTGAATTTCTTCAGCTCTTCGCTGAGGATGCACCCTCCCGTCTCTTCCAGCGTACACAATGTATTGAATGTCCTATGCATATAAACTTTGCTGTTTGCAGTTATATTCGTAGCTGGCCTTCGGAGGGAGGGAAGAAGAGCTATGTACTAGCGTAGCGTCTCTACGGTACGCGAATCCTGGGTGTGTTGCATGGTGGTGTGGGTACGGTTGTGTGAGATGGAATCGGATATATAGAATTCGTCACCCGGTAGCGTCGATCTCGAGTAACTCAATATACTAATATACCCTCGAGTAGAGGAGTGCTACTGCCGCTTATATAGGCGTTGCGACCTTGAAGGTTACACAAGCCCCGGTCATTACTATAAAGAGTCCTTCTTACCGCCCGACTTCCGACTCCCTAATGATTGAACGGTTGCGCATTCGTAATTCGCATAGCGTATAACTTGCTCGTTCTTTATCATACCGACTCCTTGAACGGCCCTCATGCTCGGCTTGTTTTTACCGAAGATGAATCCTTCCCTTGAACGTTGGTTGCATCTCGCCAACCTGGGCCCCCGTGACCCAGTGGCAGGGATTCCCAAGGTATTGTTTGAAAGAATCCTGCAGCCGAAACTCGGATGTACGTGGGTTTTTGAAAAAAAATCTCGGTGGGCTCGAATGCATTTGCTAAGTCGAGCGCAGCCACGACTGCGTTCACCCAATGAAAGGATGGGCTTCTTCCTAGATCATGGATCAAAACATTACGAACCGCGGGCCTAATGCAAAAGTCAGGTGCATTGCTAAGGCTGGACAAGGGGACGAGGGTCTCAAAGTGTAAACAGAAATCATATATTACCATTGGACAAAGTCGAAGATTGCGAAATGTGGAATTGTAAGCTGTGACGGTAGGGGCTTCATAAGCTCCGGAATCTTTTCAAAGCTCTCGGCTGACGGTCGCATCTGCCATTAAGTACCCATGAGCTTTAGCCCGACAGCAACGGAGAGCTTGGGCCAACTGACCCGCATGAATGTCATGTGCAGATGGATCGCGCCTAGTCTTGTGGCAAGTGGCATCTCTCCTCCGTATGATGAAACCACTTGCGAAGCCCACTGCGACAGCTCACTCGCAGACATGCTATTACCCTTGCTTAGGTCGACACCCGCATCCAGGTCCGGGGATCCTAGAACCTTGTCGATCGATATTCGACATCGGATCATCGTGAGGCTTGTTCAAAGGCGAGATCATGTAGATTGGCAGGGACATGTCGCGAAATTGATTGCGAGAGTCAAGACCACCTACCCAGTCTGCATTCAAGGACGTCAAGCTATCGAATGGGCCAACGTACTCCTCGCAAAGGACGAAGCGTCGGTGCCGATAACATGGGCCATGCATAGGCGGCGGACTGAGGCTAGTATAAGAATACTCCGGTACAGTGCTACTTCCGGATTACGATCAATGTCAGATACTTGGGCAGACCAGGTGCGAATGACCGACTGACCTCTTACTTGAATTTATAAAAGTATAAAGCGCGAATTCTTCGCGAATTTTTATTATAGCGAAGAATTCGAGTTTTAAAAATAATAATTATTATTAAAAGAACGATTACTAATTTATATTAAATATATTTTCTATATATATAAATTTAGCTAATAAATATAATAAACTTAAATTTAAAATAATCTAATAATAATCTAAATAATTATTCTTAATAAATATTTAAATAACTTAAAATTTTCGATTTTTTTTATTTAAAATTATCGTAGAGATATAAATGATAATTTCGAATAATAATTTCGAATAATAACTTTAAATAATAACTTTAAATAATAACTTTAAATAATAGCTTTAAATAATAACTTTAAATAATAACTTTAAATAATAACTTTAAATAATAACTTTAAATAATAACTTTAAATAATAATTTCGAGTTATAAAAGAATTTAAATTCTCTAAAAGTAAATATTAATAATTATTCTATATATATTATATATATATAATATTAATATATATAATAAAATAATATAGAGCTAATTTTAAAAATCTTAAATTTATATATATAGTTAATTATAAATATAAGATTATTATATTCTTTAATTAAACCGACTAAGTTAGCCCGCTAGCTCTTTTAAGCTCTCTTATTAAAAATTTATATATAGAAGTTTTATACTTTAAAATAATTAGCTTTTTATAGATATTATTACTTTATAATTTCGTAAATTATAAAACTTAATTTACGCTTTCTAACGATATAAAAATTATAAAGTTTAATCTACTATTAGTAAATTAAAAGAATTTTTAAATATAGTAATTATATTAAACGCGTTCGAGATTAAATAATAATTCTTCTATCTATTTATATAACTATTCTTTTTCTATTATTCTATTAATTTATTAATATAAATATACGAGTAAAGATCTATAAATTAAAGTTATAATTTTTTTTTTTAATTAGAGCTATCGAGTAAATTTAATAAGCGAACTTTTAATAGACGATATTTAAATTCGTTATCTTTAAATATCTATAAGACTAAATTTAGTAATTCTTTTTTTATTTAAAGCTCACATTTTATTCTATAATTTTAAAAAAAAAATCTTATAATTTTAATAGAGAAAAAAAAGTTCTTCTAAAATTAAATAAAATATATTTAATTAGAGCTATTCGGCTATCGAGCGAACTTTAATAAGCGATATTTAAATTCTTTACGCTTTAATAACTATAAGACTAAATTTAGATTTTTTTTAGAGTTTATATTTCGTTCTATAATTTAAAAAAAAATATTAAAATTTTAATAGAAAATAAAAAAGTTATTTTATATATAAATAACGTAGATCTATTTTTTTAATAAGAGGTTTTAAAAGAGCTAGCGAGCTAATTTAGCGAGTTTAATTAAAGAGCGTAACGAACTCGAATTTATAATTAACTATATATATAAACTTAAGATTTTTTAAATTAGCTTTATCTTATTCTTTTATATATATTAATTTATTATCGATATCTCTCGCGAAAACGTTACTAAATACTTTAGATATATATATCTCTTTTACTCGTCTCTTAGAGCTCTTACTAACGCTCTTATTAACGAATTCGCTATTACTAGTAATTAAGACTATAAGCGAGTTTAATAACTATCTATTATTACTTATAAACGTATTAAAAAATTAAAAAGAGCTTAAATAGATTTATAGTTATTATCTTTCTCTATATACTTTTTTTAAGCTAGCGATATTTAACTAGTCGCTTAACTAATACTATCTACTTTATTAGCTTAATAATTTGCTTAATTAAATTATTAGCTAGTTACTTAAATCTTTACTTAATTAATTACTTAATTTAATACTCTATAAGAGAAGAAGTAAAAGAAGAAATTATAATAGATAAATATAAAAAATACTATAGAGAATACTACGAAGAATACTACGAAGAAACTAAGTAATAATAAAATTATTATCGTTAAGAATACGACTTAGCTCTTTAAAATTCTACGTTATATACTCTTTATAATTTTATATTAAATTATTACTTAATAAGCGAAGAATATTACTATAACTTAATTTATTATTCTTATTATATTAATATAATATATTATTATAATAATATTATAAGAGAAGAATTTACTATAATAATTATAGTTAATTAAGTCTCTATAAAAGAGATATCGAATAATATATATTTAGATAAATTAAAAATATTTAATATCTTACTCTAATAGCTATTTTATTATTTAAAAGATATTACTATAATAGAAGATAATATAAGATTTATATTACTAATTAATATATTATCTTTATTTCTTTTCGATATTTTAATACTTCTTATTATAAGAATATAGTATTTTTTTATTTTTTATAGATAATTATAATAAATTAATTCTTTATACTCGATATATCTTTTTAATTAAATCTTAGCGCGTCTCTCTTTATATATATCTATTTATAAGTATATATAAAAGAATAAGATAGAGCTAAGCTTAAAAATCTTGAATTTATATATATAGTTAATTATAATTTAAGTTTTATACGCTTTTTAATTAAACCGACTAAGTTAGCTCGATAGCCCTTTTATATTTTTCTTATTAAAAATTTATATATAGAAGTTTTATACTTTAAAGTACTTAGTTTATAATATATATAGTTACTTTATAATTTCTTAAATTATAAAGCTTACTTTACGCTTTCTAACGCTATAAAAATTATAAAGTTTAACTTACTATTAATAAATT